TTTGGTTGGGGAGAAGACAGAATTAGGAGAAGAAAAATTTTGGTTTCTCTGATACCATGTCAAAAGCGAGAAAACTGATTCATTGCCCAACTTGATTTACAGAGTATTACAAAGGCTCAATAAATAGACACCAAGGAAGCCCTAAAGATATACACCAAATCTTTAAAATATCAAATCTTATCTCTACCAAAAATACAATATTCACAAAATCATATTAATACATTAACAGAAAATATGGTTAATTTATAAATCTAATGGGCTAATTCCCTTTCCACCAATTGGTTTCGGGATGAAATCTCACTTGTGTTTCATCTGAGCTTTCTCTGTCTTGGTGCATGCTTCATCTGAGTGTGACCTCACCCGTTTTACCCCCGTTTCTTACAATTTACATTTACAAATGACTTTTGGATGCAAAACAAGATGTTTGTTGGCTGAATAAGTTCTAATATTTGTGTGTGCAAGCAGTATAACAAGTCAACTAAGGTGAAAGAAAACTAAATTGCAGAGCCATCTAGTTTACAGTAATAAGAGGAAAAATAATTCTCGGCTAATTAAAAAAACATTGGTTGACATATTTTCAAAGTCTCCTTGCTCGGCATTATTACATTTGACCTAGTTTAGTCTCAACCTCGAAGTTTTTGACTTTTCATTTTTTTCACAGTTATTAAATTTAATAATTGAAAATGCTAAAGCATTTACGAAACAATTGTTCCGGTTATTAGGACTAACGACTCGAGCTCAATTCTCCCAACATACAAAGCTCAAATAGGTTTTCATTCTAAAATCAATTGGCAAAATGAATAAGTAACCCACAAAGCTTATAATTGGACTTGGAACCTTTAATTTTCCGACGTGGCATTGGATTCGACAATCTACACTTGTCCCCATTTCATAAGTTCTCTATATAAATCCCAGCAAATTAACTCTATTGAACTCATCTCTCTCTTCTCTCTCTATCTCTTCCTCCCAAAAAACAACTATCATCATGGCAGAAATAGTGAGTGGAGAACAGATTCTTGAGTTCAAGGAGGCTTTTAGTCTATTTGACAGAGATGGAGATGGTAATTAATTAGTTATAATTGCTGATTTTTTTTTTTTAATTTCAATACATAAATTACAAATTTTAGTGTTTCAAACTTTCAACAAGTTAATTTGTGCACTATAATAATAATAATAAAAAAAAAAAGAAAATGGACTGACCTTTTCCATGCTATGCATGTCATACATTCCTTATTTAGTTAATTATTTACAATGAAACCAACATTTTTCCCCCCAAAATATGCAGAGTGCATTACAACTGAGGAGTTGGCTACGGTTATTCGGTCTTTGGACCAAAACCCTACTGAGGAAGAGTTAAAGGAAATAATCGACGAGGTCGATTTTGATGGAAACGGGACGATACAATTCGCGGAATTCTTGAATCTCATGGCCAGTACTAAAATAAATGTAAATTAGACAACTATTATATGTATTAAAATTATTATTACTTTTTTTTTTTTTTTTAACT